CTGGACGAAGAGGTCATGTGGGACATCATGGTCGAGGAGGAGGAGGAAGCCCGCCTCCGGGGCGAAGAGGAAGACGACGACGATGTGGAGGAGGATGACGACGAGGAACTCGACGACGAGGCGGAAGAGGACGACGAAGAGGCGGAGGCAGCCGAGGAGGAGAAAGCGCGGAGCAGGAGAGCCGCGGAGGAGTCGGCACGACGGGCCGCGAAGGCCGAGGGCAAGAAGAAGGCCACTCCAGCGGAGGAGAAGGAGGAGGCCCCTTTGCCCGAGCTGCCCACCCGAGAGGAGGTCTACACCCGGCTCGCCAAGCAGGTGCTCGATGAGGCTTTGTTCTTGCTGCGCTTCGCCGCCAGTGCCAAGTCGGGCAGCACCTCCCAGGAGCTGATGGCGCAGGCCCGCGCCACGATAAGCTTCATTCAGCTTCTCCTGCCGCTGGAGCCGCTGGAGCAGCTGGTGCGACTCCACACTCTCCGCTCCAAATCGCGCTGTCGTGGGTTGCGCGTCTTCATCGACCTTCTGGACCGCTGCTCTCTGCCCTCGGCCAAGCGAGAGATCGTCAAGCACCTCGGCCGCTCGCTCAGGTACCCTTGCGTTGCCGAGATGCACGCGGACTGATCATTCATCAATTGGAACAACAAACAACAAACGGCTGACTCACCGGTGGTGCCTGTGATCCTCGTTTCTTGCAGGCAAACGGGCACCCACTACGCGGACGGGCTCGAAGGCTGCTCGCGCTCTTCGATCCTCGCCGTGCGGCAGAGCTTCGCCGAACTGTTCCGGTTCCTCCTGCGCAGCCTGGCCGGGCAGGAGGAGGGCACCAATGTCTCCCGGGAGGCCGAGCAGCTCAAGTTCCACACGCTCGTTCTCAACGCTCTCGCCCTCGACTACCGCATGTTCGACTATGCCCTCTTCAGCAACAGCGACTTCCACGCCGTCCTACACAAGCTGTCCACCCACGACGTCGCCCTTCGCCAGGAGCCTTCATCGTCATCGTCATCTTCTAGCTCCACGGCTAACCCGGCGCCGGAGGCAGTCGCGGCGAGCAAGCTCCGCGCGCATAAGAAGCGCGTGGTGCGGGTGGCGCGCGATCTCTTCCTCCTCTCGGCCGCGCAATGCCTCGCGTGGACCCCCACGCCTCTGACACTCAAGA